GTAGGGAAATAAAAAGGTTGCAAAATGAGTCCAGGTTAGACACTGAGAATGTGAAGGGTTTGAATCAAAGGGATGAGACTGGAAATCAAGGGAGTGATTTGGTAAGAAGACAGACAAGTGCCCCAATGAAATCTCAGCAGAATTTGGAGGGTAAAAGAGGATCAAGTAAGAAAAAGCCTCGTGAAGATATTTCTGGCGTCCCCAGGAGCAATGACAATTGTTATTCAGAGTTAGATGATGTGGATGAAGATTACCAGACATACCTGAATTCTTGTTGCAGAGAAGATGACGAAATGCCTACTGAATTAATACAAAAGAGGTCAAGTGTTGTGCAAAATTCACAAGTTTCTGATCATGCATATGTTACTCCTGAAATGCTGAGTGATGTTGATGAAGATTATCAACAATATCTGAATTCTATTAGGATTGTTGATGGCGAGGTGGAATGTACGCCAGAGAGGAATGATGATGATGACAGCAATTCCTCTAACTCAGATCTTATTGTTCTAGAGGCTAATCAAATTCATGAAAATACTCCATTTGTTTCATCTAAAGCATACGATCCATCTGTAAGTGTCTTTAACTTCACACAATGTAATTGTATTGTTCATAATCTGCAATATGTCTCACACATGCATATTATTATGTAAACAATTATGTTCTAACTTTGTAATATGTCTTTGTGTGTATAGTGGTTCCAAACAGAGAAGAATCCCAGAGATAACTGGCAATTATCTGGCAAAGCTCATTCTCAGTTTAGGAGAAGACTTATGAATGATCTTCAAAGGCCTTATGACCAAGAAGAATGTAATAGGCTTCTTCATGAAGTACGCCAGAAAAGGCAAAAGGAACGTCATATAGAAACTCGTCGAGGGGTGGTTAAGTCTTACCACACTAAGGGTGTCAACAAATCATATCTTGAGATGTACCCTGGTTGGTCTTGCATTTTCTCACCTAGTTTAATTTTTCAGATATTTCCCTTTTATTTATAAATTGTTAACTTTTAATCCTAACTAAGCTGTCAAGAATCAGGATTCAATGGTTTTTATTCATTCCTCAAGCTCTAAAATTAAACATCTCTTGCTTGACATAGATTTTGTTTAGATACAAATTTAAGAGAATTTTTTAGAACTTATCAGTTGAAAATAAAGAGTTTTTTTTTAGTAGTAAAGTTCTAAAACATATTTTTAACTTGTATCCAAATCTGCTAATTAACAGGAACCAACTAATATATTTTATTTCTCTCCGATCTCTAGTACAGATAGACCATAATATCTTTTTATAACTCTAGAGGAGCTCATTCTTGTGACTCATTATTACTTTTTTTTTTAATAATCAATATATTTGAGTTAGATTTTGTAGATGGGAATACCATTTCAGTCTGTATATATAAAAATCTATGATTTGTGCAAGTTTGTTAGGTTGGTTTTGCTTTTTTATTTTATGGACTTTCAGTTGCTTCTATTAATCTATTTACATTATTGCATAACTCTGTCTTCGTTCAATCTAAGCATCCTCTGTCAAATATTTGTTTCATAACTGAGCAGATCTCGCAAAAGCACTTGTCCAATTCAAACAACCAGAAAGGGTTTTGTTTCTCTTGCGTGGATTTATTTTCTGGTTGCAAGTAAGTCAATAGATTCATGTTCACATAAATTCTGTTTTTGACCTTCTTCAATTTAGTGATTGAGACGAGAATGAAATCAACCTTGAATTTTTTTTTTGCTTATGATATTTTTGAAGGTTTCTGTGATTTGAATATAGAATCGTTTCTGGTTGTAATTGTTAATCCTATGAGTGAAGAAAGTTCTTGAAAATTAAATTGAGTTATATGTCCATGTCCAATATATAATTGTAAAAGGCTGATACGGCTAATTTTAAATTTATTAGCAGGTTATTGTACATGTATGTACATCTACTTGGATAGACATATTTTCCTCTCTGATAGGGATGGATAATGAATCTGTTAAGATATAAATTAAAAGTGTTTTTTTCGAACTTTTTTACTAAAATTAAAGGATATTTTTTTTAGAAAAATTCTCAAAAAGAAAAATTCTCAAAAGCACTTATAAATTTGTATCTAAATAGATTTATTATTTATTTATTTTTTACTTTTTTTTATTATATAAAATCACAGCATATTGCTCTTACTCTATGAACTTCTATTTTATTTTTTGAACTATTAAGAATTCAATATTATAAAACTATAAATTAATTTAGAACATATATTAATTTTCTATCCGGCCTATTTTTCATCCTAAAGTGCTCTTAGAGTTGTTTTAGTAATTATGTTTATCTGTTTGTCGGTCATAACAATTAGTTTTGGGGCAAATATTGTCTCCATTGTTAATAATATTTTCTTTAGTCAGTATCTTGAATTAAAAAAAAAATGGTGTATGTAAAAAATAGATCTACATGATTGTATCTCATTTACTATTTAGAGTCCGTTTATTTAAATTTAAAAAGAATATTTTTAAAGAAGTGTGTCTAAGAAAGTAATTATTCAAGAAACAAATAAGAAATTGCTTATTAAAAATAAGAAAAATTACTTATTTTAAAAAATTAAGTTTAGACAAATAAATTGAAAAATAAGGAAGCTTTTTTATTTTTATTAAAAAAGCATTTCTTTAAAGAAAGTTTAATCAAACATATTCTGGTAATACTTTTAGATTTGGTGACTTTTCATTTATACTTGTGCATTTTTATTTTATTTTTTTTACATTTATTGGTTTATATGATGCATTGATTCTTAATTTCATATCTGCATGTTCTAACACATTGGTGAATGTAAGTTCTTGTATATATCTTCTGCTGAGTCATGTGAATTGCATAGAATAGCAGATATCTTGATTTACTTTGTTTTTATGTATTGTTGCAGAACTTGACCCACGAAGGAATATTTCAGCCTTGGCTTGATCAATTGTGTTTGGAGAGGTTACGAAAAATGTAAAAATGGAACCTTTCTATTTCTAAGATTTGGAAGCATGAACTTAACTAACACAGTCAACAAAGTTTATGTACAGTTAAATCTATCTTTGAACTCTGACTTAGAGAAGGAGAGATTCCCAGAGTTGTGGTTCACATTAGGAGTTCTTTCAGGATGGAAGCACATGTTATAAGCTCATTACTTATTTTCATTTTGTGCTATACCCTTGATTCTCTTTTTGTCTATTTTTTATTATTCCATTGAGAAGATGATGATGGAGGGGATTAAGGTGGCTCGGAAACATAATATATGCTTTCTAAACTATTTTTACTGTTGAGCTGAAATGCATGATATCTTGTATGCATCAGTGTTTCTGAAATATCTTGTTTCTTGTGTTCAACACTTTATAATTTCTTGGAAACCATGTAGGAGCAACACTACAAATTCTTGTTCCAAAATTCTTGTTCTTGCTGATTACTATAAACAGTCAGGGTCCACCATTAAGTACACTAGCAAAACACTCTTATTTAGATGCAAGGTATTTGTGACGTTAAAATTGTAGATAATGTTTTAATGTAATTATTTTGAGGAGTATTAACCTAAATGATATTTTGATAATAATAAAAAATTAATGAAACTTTTGAAAAAATAAATAAATAAAGACTAAAGTTTCATTTATTTAAATAGGGAGATGGGTGTATTTTTTAACAAAAGAAAATTTAGTGAGAAATTTACCAAACAATATCAATCTTAGTCAAGGAACTTAGTTATTATTATATAGTTTTTTATTTCAGATGTTATTATTATTTACTAATAATTAAATGGAATTATAATATCTAGATAAATCTCTTGTAAAGTCACAAGAGGTTGGATGAGTTTTGTAAACAAATTAGTTCTTATATTTTATCAAACTAATAATTTATGCTTAAGCTAGTGGTCAAAGTCGTAATCATTATTGTATTTGGCTATGTATTTAGTTTTAGATCTAGAAAATTTATTACAAATTTTATATGGTAAGAAATTCAAAACAGTTCTCAATCTCTTGAAGGCTAATTCAAAATTTAGGGTCAAAGAGGATTAAAAAATAGCAAAGGTGTTGTCAAGAGATGCATAGTAGTCAACACAACTTGGGTCACAACTTAGTCAATAGGCCTTTGAATGTACCATTTTCAAGTTACGAGACAAAGCTCCAACTTCACTATAGACCATTTATTGATATTTTGATATTGTTATCAAAACCCACTTGCCGAGTGAAAATAAATTCAGAGAGAGAATAAGAGTTATATCTCACAAATTCACTATTTGATTTTTATTCAATTGATTCATTACTAACTTTAAAGCATATGACCTTTCATAGGCAAAACATAACAATATAATATTAAGAATTAATTGAAAAATATACTAGAATTTGCAGTATAATATAATTTCTATCTTTTTGCAATCGATGAATCTTACTATTAAAGATGCTCTTTGCTTCAAAACATTATTTGCCATCATTGGTCAAGAACATTAATGAAACAACTTTAGAATTGTTCAAGAGTAATTTCATACATTCAACTAAATGGACAATTTAGGCGACATTAACGATTTTGGTGAGCGACAACAATCTCTAGTAAAAAAGCAAAACCTATAGATGTTTGTTTAAACACACAAATACTCAAGTTAACAAGTGTAGAAGGTATGTAAATAAGATTTAAAATGTGTAATTAAAAGTGTGTAATACGGATGTTTGTTATGTGTTGTCTTTCTTAATTCTCAAAAATATAAAAATGAAAATATTTATTTTCATGTTTATAAGTCATGCAATAACATTTTTGAGTATTTACTTATGGAAAAATGATATTCTCATTAGTAGAAAAATTTTATTCATATGGTGAAAGGGTGGACAAATGATATTTTCATAAAAATATTGAAAGTTATTTGCTATAATCTTTATAACTCCCCTTTTATTTAATTTTTATTTAAACTATTTTAAATTTTAGAAAGCATTCCTAAAAATACTAAAACGAAATATATATCATTTCTTATATCCATAAGAATGACATATTGAGTTATATTATACTTATATACAAGTAAACTGTAAAAAAAATAGAGAAGGTTAAGGAGTCACATAGATTTCAGGTTACGTGATCAAGCCTAAAATAATTCCGAAACAAATTATACAAGAAAGATAAAACTGTGTACAAAGATTACGAATTTCATATACCGAGAGATACAAATATATAGAAACACAAGAAATCAATTAGGCTACATAATTCAAGCATCATCCAAAATAAAACAATGCAAATGTTTTTCAACAAACTTAACTCTTGTATATGGATAAGGGCCTTCATAGTTCATACTCTTCCATTGTCAAATATTATAATCACAAGGGAATCATCTTTCTCATCACCTCTCTCAGGCTTGATCTACGTGCTGTTGTAAAATCTAATTTTGATACTTCGGTTCTTACCACCTAAAAGTTCAATTTGCAGAGAGATAACCCAAACACCTTTCCAATATCTCAAAACAATGTTTTTAAAATTTGAACTTGAATCGTACTTTAATTGGTAATGTTAAAACAATAATAATAATTAAACAATACATAAATTCTTTAACCAAATTTTCATTTTGATTGGCTGAATCGATCCAATTATCAAAACACTCTCAAACGATGAAAGTTCACGATGTAATTACATTAACTCACATCCATGTTTGTTAACCCTTTTATTCCATTTTGTTTGATGTTTAAAATTTGACGCAAAAATAAAAAAAAATACAATTAATATTTAAGATTCATAAGATATACTTTTCTAACATATTTTACATTTTTTTAATTAATTACATTCTTATATATCTCACTCCATAATAAATGGTTAAGATAATAGAAAAATATTTAATATTTCATTAATTTTGTAAAATAACAATCACGGGGTAAACATATTTTTTGGATAAATAGATAAAAGAAACACTTGCGTCCATAGCAACAATAATGCAAATGGAAATAGTAAGTTAAATGGCACTCGCCTCTAACTATGCTAATTATGTCAGAAAGAAAGTCCTACTTCATTAGTAGAAGAAAATTTTCTTTTTATCTATTATTTCAAATGTTATGGTACAATGTTAAATCAACAAAAAGAAAAAAAAGGGGAGGGGGAGGGGGAGGATGACCTATTGTTTACATTTACGGTATGCATTAAAAATAAATGAGAAAAAGAATTAAGAAGGGGCAAAAAGGGCACCACTGCATTACCTAAACTAGCTCATTTACAACGGACCTAAAGTCTCTGCTATGCAATGTTTTCATTAGAAGAACTGGTTTAATAAGTTCATCAAAATCATCCAAGTGTAGATCCAAGGAATCGTTGTCACACATTGCTGCTGGCTCAAATGATTGATCTACAGTGTCTTCAACTTCAGCATTCACATCAAGGTTGATGTATTCAGAAAGTTCCTCTTCCAGCTCACCACTCTGTTTAAGTCGTTTTGGAGCCACCATTCCAGATTCAGAAACATCAGCAGCAGGAATAGAACCAAAATAACGCCCTCTAC